GACTAGGTTAGTCGAGATGTTAGGCATTTCAATTCATTAACACACGATCATTAATCTTATTAACGTTAATAAGTTCTTATCTATTTAATTAATGGTATATCTGAAAAAGCCAGTTCAGAAGTAACATAAATTCACTTTTCCAAGCAACCTATTGTACCTATATTTTTAGAGGAACTTTTTGTTAGGATAATTACCTAATTCTAGCAAGTCATGGACCTCCTCCTTGTACTCTGACTCCATCGACACGAAGCCACAATAAATAAGCGAAGTCATTCTCATTACATAATTATATGTACAACTGTACTATTACTTTTAATTCCGTTTAAGTTTGCAGCGAGCGAATTTCCTCCGGACTAAAACATAACAAATAATCATATTGAATGCGTGTGGTGACGGATTGAGAATACGGAATGTCACCACCCTTATTCATCTCGTGGGTGTTGTAAAAGCCGACTAAGGGAGCAAACTACGCAGGACAACAGCACTGTTAAGAGAAGGAAAACTTGAAAGAAACCCTATATCAACCCATCTGGCCATCGTGGTGTGAAGGAACGGGTGTCATGTCCCTCCAACACAAAGGGAGGATCCTCTGACCATTCGAGGTGATCATGCCTGGCGGGCCGCGGCCCAACGGTTGATGTTGGGAAGTTGTATATATGCTAATTGGCGAGGGAATTCTTTATATCGCGATACAGGATTAGCAATTCTTATTTTAGTAGTTACTCCGTAGTTCGGTGTGTCTTCATTAGATGGCGCTGTAGTGTGTTTCTGTTTCTTTGTATGTGGGAGTCGCCACAGTGGTATAGTAGGCCAAAAGCACCCTTCTAAGGAGAGGCCTATGTCAGGCAGTGGACTGTTATAGGCTGTTGATGTGATGATCTGATGATGAGTTAATACTAGCGTGTGTCCACGGCTCTGTCATGGCATGTCGGTTACCGCGGTAAGAAGTAGCCTATGTTACTCGCTGATTATGTAGGTTTCCATTGGTGAAAGAATTTTAAAATGAGTCTAGTGGTTTAGGCGTTAAAGTGTAACAAACAAACAAAATCACTTTCACATTTATAATATTTGTTAGTCAAAACTATGTAAATGTAAAAGACGAGCAGATTGACTCAAGAGACACAGGTTCACTCCCTCCCTTCCCCAAAAATTTTAGGACGGGGTGGCAGGATTTTAGCCTCTGGTGTTCTTGTTGAAAAGCAACGAAAAGATTGCTAAATTCCTTTTTTTGATGATTTCACCTGATGATAAGTGACTAGGTAGAGTTTGGGCTTCGGGATCCTCAATCACTTGTTTTTTTTTTTTTTTTTTTTTTTATCTTTTTTGTTTAGGGGCTTGTAGTCACACATAAGACCATGTCAGCCCCATCGTACCCTAAACTTACAATGTACTAATCTTTAAATTTAACTTAAGTATATAGAATATACTGCTATTAATAATACAGGGATATACTACAGTTCAAATAATTTATAAACTAACAACGCCGCTTCAGACAGAGGCTTTGACAATATACTTTGAAACATACCAACATCTATAATATTAATTTTTAGCCTATTTACCAGAGCCTCTCTCTCAGCCCTAGTTTTGACACACTCCATCAAAAAATGATAGACTCAACAATACCGCATTCTTCACAATTTGGGCTGGTACTTATGCCCATAAGATGTCGAAACTTGTTGAGTGGGACGTGTCCAGATCGTAGTCTATGAGCTATTACAATATATTTCCTATTAATAATTCTGTTGGCAAACCATGAAATATAAGGCGGTTCACTTTGAATCGTTCTAAACCAGATTCCTTTTTCTAGAGATCTTTGATTAAAATATTCTTTCCAATTATTCTGGCACAACATTTTAAATTTAGGTAAAACTTCCGAATAACTTGGGGTGATATTGATTTCAGTACCATCCAGGATAGCTTTCTTTGCCGATCGATCCGCCTCCTTATTCCCCGGCAAGCCAACATGTGACGGAACCCATTGCAACACCAAACTATCATCATTAATAGATGTGAATGCCCATATTTGTTTTAAAATAGAATAAGCTATCGAAACCCCTCTGAATCCAGAGGCGCATCGAGCTAGATGCTGGAGGGCACTCCTGCTATCGACGAAAATAACACATTTCTCACCACTCATATTTTTGCAGTGTTTAAGGGCTCCGATATTGCTACAAGTTCCGCCGTCATTATACATATGTGACTTTGAGTTACTTTAAACATACCACTTATTTTATTTCTTGACTCATAAAAGGCGACACCAATATTATTATTTATTTTAGATGCATCGGTATACAATTTAAACCAATTATTATATTTACCATGTAATTCCTGAAGTACATTGTTTTTTAATATATTTGTATCATAGGCTCTTTTTGGCAACCTAACACTATATAGCTGATCCTTTATTACATTTTCTATATTAACATTGGATATCCATGTATCCATACCAAACATTTCCAATGGATAACGAGAGGATACAGTTTCCTCTTTAATGTCGGTATATACTGCCACTAATAATGGTATTTTTTTATTCTTCCAATATCTATTGGTCGTATAGCTGTCTAAACTGTTCAACAAATCAATTGTCACATTGTTTGTTAGGGATTTAGCTTTCAAGCAAAATTTCATGGAAAGATATTTTCTTCTTAGAGCTAGACTAGGAATACACAGTTCGCACTCCATAACATGGATAGGGGTGGTACGAATGAAACCCCCAACAATCCTCATCGCTTGGTTCTGTACCTTATCAAGCTTAGTCAGATGTGATTTCGCGCTATTGTCATATAGAAAGCTTCCGTAATCGATCGATAATTCTAATTAAAGATATGTATAGTGTTTGCAAATGTTCAGGGGGTAAAGCCTAAGCTGACCCCGCTAACACTCTCAATAAGCTTAAAAATCGTTGGTTTTTTTTCCATATTTCGTTTATGTGCTTTCCCCATCGCAATGCTCTATCTAACCATATGCCCAGATACTTGATATTTTCTGTGGAATTGATTATCGATCCGTTTATATTTAAATTAATGCATTGTCTTCTCCGCCCCCTGCTAAATACACAAAATTTTGACTTATTGCTTGACAATGCTAAACCTAACTGTTCTAGTAATATAGAAAAAGCGTTCAGTGCATTTTGTATTTTCGGCACACTATCACTAAGACTATTACAACTAGTATACACTATAAAGTCGTCAGCGTATTGTGATACTATAACATTGGTAATATTCTGACAAAATCCATAAGTTATGATATTAAAAATTAAAGGAGAGAGGGTCACCTTGGGCAATGCCTTTATCTGTCCATCTGACCATCCAATAATTGTCCTCACAATAATTAATGGTAGTTTTAAGATGTCTTTCCGTTAAGAATTTCCACAAATAGAGGCAAATTCTTTTACCAACATTAATTTTATCAAGAATTTGTATCACACTATCTAAATTTACATTATTGTAAGCGTTTTCTATGACTAAAAAGCATGCCAACGTCGGTATATTTTTAGAAAAACCTAATATAATTGTACATAACAGATCAACCGAGCCAAGCTATCCAACTACAGTATTCATGGATAAAATTTCATTTTTCTCAACATACCATTCGATTCTTTTACACAACAAATTATGAAAAATTTTACAAATCCAAGAAATCAAAGAGATCGGCCTCAATTTTATTGGTATTTCTGTGTTCTGTTTAGGAATTGGCACTATTCGTATGTTTCACCATTAAGTGGGGACACATCCAGTTTCTAAAATAAAATTATAAATGTCTAGCAGATAAATTTTGACTATTCTAGGGAGATTATATATCATCGAGAACGTGATTTGATCATCACCCGGTGCCGTATCTTTTTTCTTTAGACATCTTTCCAATTCTTGATAGGTAAATTTGGTTTCTAAAGATGTATTAGTCGATGAAATTTCGGGCATTGGAGGTGTCACAAAATCAGGTTAACTAGAAAGACATAACCTACTTGGATATTATTGGGATCAACTACAGAACATGTAAAATTTTCGTTTAGAATGTCTTTATATAAGGACCATGTGGCTTTTTTAAAATTACGTTTTTTAATGAAATTTCGTTTAGGCTTGGATACCAATAATTGTATTTTGATTATTAAGTGATCACTGCCCAAGGTTTCATTGATAGTATTCCACTTGCAGTCTACTGCAATATCTGATGACACGAACGTTATGTCAGGAGATGATTGCTGCAGTACTCCATCAACTAATTTTATTCTTGTTGGCCTACCATTATTTAAGGAAATGAAGGCATTTTCTAAAGATGAATCCATAAGTTGTATACCTCTGGTGTCATTTTTATATGACCAGTTAGTATGGTGGCCATTAAAATCCCCTGCTATTAAAGATCTATGAGAATACGCACCAAAAAGTGAATCCCAGTCTGACTGCGTGATTCTGACATTAGAAGGGCAGTATATACTTACAATATTTTCTAAGGATGGACAATTAAGTAACTTCACATGCATCACCTCTATACCTGTATTTCTCAAAGTAAATGATGATATTAGAGTTTTTAATGATTTGTTTCAGATAATTGCTACGCCGCCATATGAGTCAAGCCTATCTCTTCTATATATATTGTAGTTACTTATACGGGCACGAGAACCAGTTTCCATCCAAGTTTCACTAATAATCGCCATATGTACATGTTCTTGATTCAAAAGACATTCAAATTCCAATAATTTAGGTCTCAAACTTTGGGAATTCCATTGTAATATGTTTAATGGTGCTTGCTGTTTTGTATTATCCATTAAAGATATTTAACATCATTGACTTAAACCATTCCCCACTTATAATTTGATCAATTAATAAGTGTTTAAGCTCTTCTAAAATCAATTGTGTAGCTTCTACTATTTTCTCCTCTAGACTCTTGTTTGAAATTAGTGTGCTTTTTATCTGTTTTAGTATTTCCCAAAATGAAGTGCTTTTATTTCTATTTCTCTTTGCCATGGATTCCGGTTGTACAATATCCTCAGTTCCTGTATTTTATTCTATATTCTCTTGAAAATCCATGGAGTTTTCAGATGTATCTTTCCTATTATGTTTTCTATTTTTATTCTGTGTTTTATCTTTACTTTGTTCATCCTTTTTCTTGGATTTGCGATAATCTTTCATTAAAATATCTCTGAATGTGGGTTTTGATGTTTGTTCTACAGTCGGCCTTGAACGGCCTCGGTTTCCTCCAGTGTGCTCCCTCCTATGTAGTAATACGTTTACCACAGCCCGTGTCTCTTTAAGATAGTTGTATAGAGCACTCTTGTATGTACAGTTTTCTGATGCCATGATACGACGAATTTCTTTTTCTTTTAAAAAAATTGGGCATTTTTTACTCAACGCTATATGTCTACCTTTACAATTGACACATTTAAAAGTTGTAGTTTCACAATTAGCGTGAAAATCACCACATTTTGGATATACACTTTTTTTAACAGTACACTGCTTTTGTAGGTACCCAAACTTCCAGCAGTTTAAACATTGTGTTACCGGAAACGTGTACGATTCGACCTTCAGTTTACATCCATAAACTTCAACAAATGGGGGTATTGTTGAGCCTTTAAAACCAATACGTACAGTTCCGCTTTCCACCCATTTACCTTCGTCTGTGGAACGTTTCAATCTTTTTACAGAGATTATATCGTATTCGCAAGTAAATATCTCATTTAATTCTTCTTCTGTAATATCTAGCTCGATATTTTTAACCACACCATATGATATATTCACTTCTTGAGCTAAGTGACATCTATAGCCCAAATCTTTAATTTTCTCACATAATAGTAACTTTACTTAGTTAACTTTAGTTTACCCTGCTGTCGAATTGTATACATACTCTAAAGGGGTTTTTATACCTGACTTTTTAATATTCCTAAAATGCCTTTGGTTTTTAAAATTTGGCCAAACCAATTTGCTTGGGCAACATATCTTTGGACGTAATAAAAACATCAAATGTGTTACATCTTGATTCTGAAACTTCAGACTCTGACATACGCCCACAATTATGATTACTTGAAAAACTTCGATGCATTCGTTTTGAGTTTCGTCTTACACTCACACTCACCGTCACTGTCATCTAAACTTTCCTCGCTATCTTGTCGCACTCTCTTCTCAGGCACCTTTTCACTACTAAATTCTATTGTTTCCATTACTTGTTGCTCACTCTCCCCGTTACTTTTACTATTAGTACTCGAAATAATTAAGTCTGCCGAATTTCCACTCATTTTTATTTATAAAAATACGAAGGTAGTTTTGAAAAAAGTTGACATCGTAATTAAGCAGCTCTTATCAAAACGACCGCTCGCTACGATCCAGGCGGTACAATCTTAGTCGACAATAATGGGAATGTCACGAAAATAATGAACCCAAATACAATGGTTATTTATTTGTTCTAAAATTTTAACAACAATACGTACACTTCATTTAGGCGTATAATACGTGTGTACTTCGCCAGTCGATATTTATAGATGTCGTTACTTTCGGTATAATCCGCATAAAACAAAAAGTGAGTTGTTTTAGTTTTACCTATCCCGGAACGTATATCACTATTTTCTGGAATCATTATAAAATGACTTTTGGAAATAAAATGTTGCCATTATTTTTTTTATACATTGAGTTGGTAGTTATTTTGTATGATAAAATTGGTAAATGTAGACTTATATTAAAATTTTTGAAAACTTAAAAAAAATTTTAGCACTTTAATACACACGATTCTAAGAAATCCTAACTTAGTGCCTGTATCATTTCATTATTGCCATTGTTTTGGTACTTGTCATCAGCGTTAATGCAGCAACATTTGCAACAGCTGTCGTTATGAATGTTGTCCGTCAACATGACATTCATAACGGCATTTTTTGGTTGTTGAATGTTTACTTGCTTGAAACTAATAACAATTATTCTCTGATATCTTCATTAATGCGTGAGTTGAGCCTAGGTTCTTCTGATCTTTGTTATCCTTGTGTGTTGTTTTCGAGTAGTATTGAGGTAGAGACACTTATTTTTAACGCTTTATTTTTGTGTTGCAATGTCTGTTAAACGTTGTTGTCTTGAAAAGAAGAAAATAAACGTTTTTTTTTTACATTGTTTTATTTTACAAAGTTCTAATTGCATAGGTATATTTGTACATAATATAAACAATACTGTATACAATAAGTATTACCTATATTATATATATGTAGATATAAATATATCCTTTCAAATGTTGAGTAAGAGAAAAGTTGTTGCTCGCTCCTAGCAGATGGCGTTGTTTTGTAATTTCCTCCAAAAGCGATTGAGATATACCTCTATTTCAGTATATTACAATGTACTCTGTGCTACGATCCGCCGCGCGCGACTGCAATCACTTGTTGAAAAGCAACAAAGGATGGCCAAACATCGGTGTTCGGTAAAGCCCATGAAGTATGACTCTTCCATGTGAAGTCAACATTAAACGAGCAAAAAATATGTATATTTTAAAACGGAGATTTTTCTTTGATAGACAAACAAACTCAGTAAGTCGTCTATAAGAAAAGTAAAATAAAATTTAATAATGTTTTTTTTTTATTTCAACCAGTGAGTAAAAGGCTTATGATTACAAAACTTCACAACTGAGTTACAAAGGCATATCGATAATAATTCGGTTAGTCGATCCTAATAACACATCATCGTTACATTTAATTGTGGGTGAAATATTGGGATGTATTTTCGTTAACAATCGGTATCATTAGAAGCTTGTTCGTAATCATTAATAGTTTCTTTGATGTGGTTCTAATATCAGTCTGTCGTACACGATTCGAATTCACTCGTCTAATTATTATTGTATAAACGATAAACTGCAAAACTAATACTTTTTTAATTAAAAAGTTTGAAACCAATTATCCTTTTATTTCGAAAACTATGTTTTTTTCTTTATAAAAAGTACCTTATACGTATGTGCCTTATACCTGTACCGTACACCCTTTTTTTACTGTGCGGAACTCCCATTTTGGTTAGTATGTCGGACTCGAACCAAGCAAAGACCGTAAGCGGTCTGCGGGTACCAGTAGCCGGGAAATCAAGTATATCCTAGAAAGGAACGCCCTGGTATTCCGACGTACTTCGAGCCATCTACGGCTTATAGTTATTCCCCTCCTTTGTCTTTACTGTACCTCTATTCATTAGTATGCTAATAAGAACACGCTACGACCGATAGGATTCGAGTATCAATGAAAAGGTTAAAAATACGGGTAAAATATATTTATTTAAATTTGCATTTATGAGTCTATCTGCGAGCTGTGATTCCAGCCATTCAAGTCAGCAAAAGACAGTACTTTTATGTATATGAGGTCTCTTACATTTCCATGCGGAAGATACTGAAGTTCCCATGAGAACTTCACAACGCTTGGTTGAGCGTATTCTTGTAAAAACGTCTACGTACGTGTAAAAAATTCTATTTCAGTTTTTGATATCCTTGTTATTTATTAACGGATAATAACTAGACTTATCTTACACACAGCTGATATCAATTTATTTACTAAATAATAAACACGTGTCTTTGTTACATGGTACGGAACTGGGTCTTTTGTTTTATTCAATGTGGAAGTGGCCACAGCAAATATAATAATATTTAGAACTAAAATGCAAAATATTCTTAACTAAGATAGTTATTAACCATGTCAGGTTGTGTCTGAATGTAACAAGGTTTTAGTTCATTTAGTATTTTAAGCTATTTAGGCTTATATAATAACTAGTACTGGATGCGGACGCTATGCCTCTAAGAATAGGAAAAAGGCTTTTAATGTATATTTCATTCACTAATTCAAACATTCTTTTTAGATTTCACTTGAAAATCTTAGCTATTTTTTAAAGGGACTTGTTAGCTTTTGCCCCTTCTGTACTCAATGGATCATCATGAAATGTGAACACGTTTTTAACGTTTCAAAAAAGGACACAGGATACAACTTGACAAGAACAAAATGTCAGAAAATTTTTTTCGCTTTAGGTAGGATGCTGGACCAAATCTGTAAAATTAAATGTTAAAATAGGTTTAATATTTGTCCTATATTTTGAGGTTGAACGAATACTGATACAACACATTATTTATTTCCAAAAGCCCTTGCTACAACATATGTATATAGCCTATGTAATATCTAATGATATAGCCTGACTACACATAAGATATTTTGCCGTTTTCTTAAGCCTTTTTTAGTGTAGATAAATGGAACTACGCATTATCTACTTCTAATAAATTGCGCAATGAAAGTTCTACCATTAATCTCTCCCTTTCTTCTCCCTTTGTATAAGGACATGACATCCAATATTCTACAATGTTATTACATTCTTATTACTTAATTTATTTTTGTGCGTTAGAAAATTTTAGTAGTTTTTTTCCTGAAAAATATATTAAACATACCTCCATTTTTAGGTACCTCCTTTGTTTTGTTTGAACATGGCATTTTTTTAATCATCATCTTTAACAGCCTTAATTTGTCCACCGCTGGACTCAGGCCCCTCCGTAGAAATATGGTTTTGGCCTACTATACCAAGCTGGCTAGATTGGTTGGCATAGGGTTTGTGTCAAGTTTTCCTTCTCTTTACAGTGCTGTTGTCCTGCATAGTTTATTCCCTTGATCAGCTCTTACGACATCCACGGGATGCATAGAGGTGGTGACATTTTGTATTCTTAATCCGTCTTAAGTATTTTAGGATCTAGGTCTTAATCTAAGTATTTTAGGATTGGAATAAAACTAGAGTAAATTTGATTTATATCAGTGTTTTACTGTTATAAATGCATAATATTAAAAAAAAAACAATCTACTATTGCGTAAACTGATTTAAAACAGAAATTGACCTATGCGAGTCCGACTTCTCCACATCAGTTTTAAAAATAAACCTGGTGTATTTATTTACTTTGGGCATTAATTCTTTAAGACTTTTGCCCCGTTTTTTCCCTGTTTTTTTTTCTTACTTTTTAATACCTAAATTTAATGTACTGAAGTCTGGTCCCATTTAAATTTGAAAGACAAAAATCTATTTACAGTGGTGGTAAATTAATTGGCTAAATTCGTATTAAAATAAATATAATAAATTGGCTAAATTAATATTGGTTTTGGTTTTCCTTCAAATTAATAAATAAAGAATGACAAATTTAGCTTATTACAATTTATCATGTATGTATGTTCAGCAATATCGGGCTTACAGTATTTGTGAGGAAATCCTTTGTGTGTGGTTCGACAAAGGTAATTTGTCTTTAGTTAGGACAAATTAGGGTTAGTGTTCACTGGCGACGATTTAGGGTAAAATCATGCGTATTTTATACATAAAATGTTCTACCTATTTTTATAAATAACTTAGAAAGATGTTTTCTTTCATAACGAGGCAAATTGAGTTTTATTTTTATGGAAATAAGTCATTAAGTTTAAGAGCCATCGATATGAGATTCTCTCTGAATTCCAAAGATTCTGAGAACCGACAAGCGTAGCCGAAAATTAATGATTTTTTTTGCAGATACCCACTTGAGGAGTTATAGGCTCTTTTTTGCATTTCACAGTTTTAAAATTTAAATTGCCGTTTAAAAAGTCAAATAAACTCGATCTAATATTCGTAACAAAACCCCGCTGTGCCTGTTTTTCTATAGGTCTGTTAGGAAGACATGTTTACAGAAGCCGTGATAATTAGATGTTACTCGGGCGCTACAAAGTACAGGATGGTAATTACTGAAGCGGGGAGAGTACATACGGTACGGAGGTGACGCTTGATAATACATGGACCTTTGCCCACTGGAGCACAAGCAATTAACTATGTTTGAACGATCATCTCGCTTTTAAACATCTAGAGCTGTTTATAAACTTCAACTTCGTACATTCAAATCAATGAAGTATGTTTTTAACATAGCAAACATCATTAACAGCCTTTAATGGTCCACTGGTATAGGGTTTCTGTCAACTTTGCCTACTCTTTGCCATTGTGTTGTCCTGCGTTTGCTCTCTTAGACAGCTTTTACGACATCCACGGGATGAATATGGGTTGTGATACTCCGTATTCTTAATCCGTGTTAAAACCTGTCACCCCATGGTGTTGCGTCCGTGTACACAACACCATGGGGTGACAGGTTTTAACATTGTGGGTTTTGTCTGACTAGAATTGTCCTGGTGTTATAATTTCGATGAGTGTGATTTTTTTCAGTTATTTCATTGTCTATAACTTGAACTTTTATTGCCAGGTCAAAATATGTACTGGTCTTCTATAGTTTTAATATGTTGTCGTTTCTAAATAACTTTGAAGTTTTGACACATACTGTTTTATGCACTTTACCTCCACATTTGATGGTCCTGTTAGTCTACTGGTTTAGTGACCTTGACCTTGACTTGTTAGTGTCTTAGCAGCCGGAGGTTGTGGGTTCGATTACCACTTAGGAAAAATGTTGTGTGATGAGCACGCCAATTTTTTTTTGTCTTTAGATATAATTAAATAAATTTATTATTCATAACATGTTTGTATTTAGAAATATATAATTATGTTTATCAGCAGTCTGGTTACCATAGAGGACAGTCTCTGCCTAGTTTGGGATCAGACAGCCGTGTGTGAGATGTTTGAAGTTATTCTTATTATTTTATAAACATTAAAAGTTCTGGAGTGGTGACCACAAACCAAAAGTGTGCGTGAGTAGGCCCCCTCCAAAATACAGATAACCATATTTTTTTAGTATCCAGATGATAAGTGCCTAACTCTGGTATATACCGTAGCATGGCTCTCCCAACGCACTACGCTAACACTGGCCATGGTCACGGGCAGACTCAATTCAAAGGTATATAATACCTGTTGATCAAGTATCCCTTCAACGGTTTCCCTTGACCTTCACTAGGTCTTCGGAGCACCTTGTAGGGGGCCTACCTATCTTCTGGTACGCGGTCGCCACTCGAGAATCTTTTGGCCCCATGTGCCATCATTTCTACGAGCAATGTGCCCTGCTCACTGCTACTTTAGTCAGGACAGGCTGTTGTGGCAAAACTAAGAGGAGGCGTATGTCCAGCAGTGGACGTCTTTCGGCGGAGAAGAAGAAGTATAAAACCTAAAAATTATGGGAGCTGTGATGATGATATATTGGAATGTATACTAAATTAAACATACATTCATGCCTTTAGTATAAAATGCCATTGCGCCGACTATAACTTTAATCCCACGTACCAACCATGGATCAAAGAGTAAGGGAATTGTCGTCAACCAGACACGAATGAATCTAGTCTTAAAACTAATTTTAAGCAGACATTTTATTATTAAACGTTACTTAAAACGAGATTCATCGATCCGTACTTAAGAGAGTGTAGCTCAAGTATAGATTTTGACAGATGTGATTTTTGTTTACGTGGGACAAGCTGAAACTAGTCTCAAGCAGTGATTTCTAGGGTATTTTAGTGGAAATGAACGTGTTTTACGAATAATTACGAAAGATTACCCTATTTACTAAAGAATTACAGGAATGAGATAGGAAAATTACAGGTAAAAAAGAGCCCTATAGAATTGGTAGTAATATTCCTAAGTCAGTGTTCTAAAAAACGAATTTACCTAGATAAAATGATATACAATTTACAGTTTCCACAAAAAATAAAGTTCATTCCATTACAAACTAGCTTTCAATAAAGTGCTCCAATGCTTCCCAGTTGAATGCACCGTAACATCACAAATTGCGGCGCTCTCGAGCACCGTTCAGTTTTAGTTGAGCATACATGAATTGCACAGGGAGCTTTTCAATCGTGCGTATGGCAAAACCTCTGTGCCAAAAAAGTTTATTTTTGATATACTTTTTTATAGTTTTAAAATAACCGTACCTAACTTCTTAAAGGAAGCTTGCAAAAAACCCGAGTGGAAGAATCCTGTGGCCTTGTTGCTTTTAAAAACAGCTCTCAAAGACGTGTTTAGTTTCTAAAGTTGGCCGATAGAAGGAATAAAGAATCATCCTACCCTTTTCCGAAAGTGATTAGAGGTCGGCAAAATTTAGTAGCATTAAGCCTGCCTATACAAAATTGGTATTACCACTTTAAAAAAAGTTTAAGTTACTAATACACTTGCAAAGGGTAAAAGTGTAAAGTAACAAACAACAAATTTAATTCCAAAGACTAAATTAAGCGTGAGAATTTAATATATTTGCTTGTTTATGGGCAAACAAGTAGACCGGTCGCCTGATGGTAAGTGATTACCATCGCCCCTTGAGACCTGCAACTGCTGCTGGTGCTGCTGACCTTTCAGTGCCACCAATAAATTGCGAGACTGGGGAAGGATACTTTTGGGCATTCGGTAACTTTTCCTACTCACTGAAATGCAAATAAAAACTTATTAACATTGGGTTTCTGTTAGACAGTGGTATTCTATTTGTGCCGAAGCATGGCTCTCCCACTCCTTTATTTCCCCAAAGTTATGATAACTTCATCTTAATTCTAGAATAAATTGTTTATCCAAATTTAATTAATGTTGCTCCACTTGATTTTAAAAACAAACAATTAACTTCAACTGAATAACGAAAACAAATAAAGGTAACTGGTGAAACAACGTAACAAATTTAAATTTCAGAACTTATCTGAAATACGTTACGTTCAGCCATTCGGATAATCGACATTTACACGTTTGCAAAAGTTGGCTATAATTAATAGGATTTTGCAACCATATGCTGTGAGTTTTTTTTTATTTAATTATTATTTTCATAAAAATACAAATAAGAACATTTTAAATAACAAATCACCGACGGCGAGTTGGTGCAAGTGGAGATCTTAATCCAGAACCAGCGCTAAATCTATTGTTGGTGAATAGAACAAGAAGGACGTGCAAATAGGATATAGGATACCTTTTATCCAAGAAATTAATAATCAAGTAATAGCAGTAAAAATACTTTACTGTTACAGCCTAAATCTAGTGTAGAGGAACGGGTTATATTCCTCGACGACGACGAAGACGAGGTGATCTTGCGTGGTAGACCGCAACCACAACTTGTATATTTGCTAATCGTGAGAACTTTTAAATCGCGATACAGAATTAGCACTTATTCCGTAGTTCGGTGTATCTTCGGTAGATGGCACTGAATTATGTTTTGTTTTAATGTGTGAGAAAGTCGCTACACTATACGCCGAGATATTGTCATATTGTTTTAGTGTTACACTCAAGTATTAATTTTTCTTTCACAGGGCTTCTTACGTATCAGTTCTAACGATCGTAGCGTTCTCCCTGGAGCGTTACCTGGCAATCTGTCATCCTCTGCATCTCTACGCCATGGCAGGGCTTGGAAGAGCGTTGAAGATTGTGGCCGCTTTATGGCTTGTGTCACTCCTGGCAGCATCGCCCTTCGCTGTTTATACCACCGTCAGCTATCATGACTATCCACTTGGTAAGAATATTTTTCTATATTTATTTGTTCTGTACTTTTGTTATTTTTACCTTTCAGTTAAAATCGTACAGTTGTTAGTTATAAAAAGACAACTGCACCTCTTCTCCCGTTGGGCATGAGCGCATGAGAAATACAAAATTGGGTACCACTGAATGTTGCGTTACCTAAAAGGTTTAGGAAACTCTTATTTTAGTGTATTTCCTTGAATTGTAGGTTAGTATGTCATCATCATCATCATCAACAGCCTTTACTAGTCCACTGCTGGACATAGGCCTCTCCTTAGAAAGGAGGTTTTGGCCTACTATACCACGCTTGCCAGACGGGTTGGTATAGGGTTTGTGTCAAGTTTTCCTTCTCACTGCAGTGATGTTGTCCTGCTTAGTTTGCTCCCTTAGTCGGCTCTTACGACACCCACGGGATGAATAGGGGTGGTGACACTCTGTATTCTTAATCCGTCACCACACGGACAAGTTAGTATGTTTAACTATGAATTTAAAACAACAATAACAAACTTTTCAGTAGCTATATTAGTTCATGTTGTTTTACTATTCATTTCAAACATCCTACTCCTAAATTGTTTCTATGTCGGAATTCTTCAAATTATGAATTGTTTTTGTTTCAAACGTACACATCTCTAGAGCAATATTTTCTATTGTTAATAAACTATATTATGTGTAATAAAACATCTAGCATCATACTATCATAATAAAACTTGTTTTCATTTCCAAACACAAACACATTGTTATTAAATTTTATGCTACGAACACAAAACCTCCAAGATATTCCTAAAACTTAGTGTCCGAAGGAATAGTTGAACAAACAATTGTATCATAAAAACATTGTTTCCTCTCAAATGTCGATGTTTTTGTTAAAGGTATCATTACTCGATTGTGGGGTGGTCGGTTTGATTCTCGATAATGGCCGACTAGATATCATATTTCAGAAGTAACGATGTCTAACTGGAGGGTACCTTTTGTTTTACACATAGATAAATAAAAATAAGGCCATAACGACATTTGATATTGTTAGACATTTAATACTCTCAAAAATGGTAGCTTTCTTTTCATAAAATTACCACTAGATACTAAATATTCCTTAGGTGACGTAGGTGGCCACTAAGAAAGGATTTTTACTCCAAAGGATGCAAATGGGGGTTGGAAATTTATATGAAACTTCGTTATTTTCGGTAGTAACGTTTTCAAACTCAAAGTAAATACTCTTTATATTAAGGAATGAAAACCGTTGTTACTAATTTTTCAAAACTACCCTTAAGAAAGAATGTATGTTTGTATGGTACATTCAGCTATAATATTGATTCATTGTACCCTCTACGATGTTTAATGTCCGCCACCAGGCGAACGAAGTCGTGGGCAAAGGTTAGTATCTAATAATAGTCTCAACGGTATTTAATATTTAACGGTGATGATAGCCCAACGCTGTTTAATATATATATTTTAGATGTAGGTATCAGAACGAGAATTGACAGGATGGAATACGAAGGAATAAATCCAAGGCTAATAGAATGAAACAAGCCTATTTTCCTCACCTCTTTTTATGCGAAAACAACATTTCATTTTGGTTTTATTTGTACATTATTCAAGCTCGTACTTCTTTTGAGATTTAACATTAAATTAAAAAGAAAAAGCAGTGTGCGTGAGAAAAAATCACAGAAACAAAGCGAAGAAATAAGAATAAAATAAGGTGGCAGAACAAGGTTTTTTGATTCTCACATATCAAAAGGTTTATTGTCAGTGTCTAAAGCTCTTAGAATGCCAATACGCCAAAAACACAACACAAACGGCTGAAATATCTTTACGATTTAGAGAACTCAATTCATTATCTTGAATTAGGTGTTCTTTCAGTTTCATATTTGTCAAGCCACTAAACACACTGAGTAATTTATTATTTAGTGGTATAAAATACTATACAAATAGTAGCATTTTGTATTTATAATAGGTGAAATTGCCGTTTTGTATGCAATAAGTGAAAGTACTTATTTTTTCAAACTTTTGGAACGAAGTTCCTTATCGCGCGTTGTGAAAGGGGGCTAGACGGAAAAAATTCGTACGAAAATTTGGAACGACACTTTTTTATAATATAAATTGACGTCTAACTGTGGATACCATACATTAAATTTGCTTCAATGTTCGCCAACGTCCATACCATGTTGAATACACCGGTTCTCGTCCGATCACCGAAGTTAAGCAACATCGGGCGTGGTTAGTACTTGGATGGGTGACCGCCTGGGAATACCACGTGATGTTGGCTTTTTGCTCTTTATTTTCGTGTCATTGTCAGACATTCAGCGCCATCTATCGAATAGATAGGAAATCATTTCGCAAGGAGATTTTACCAATGTATAAATTGTTTTAATTGTTTTTAATATGTAGGTAATAGCCGCTTTCATAGATGGCGTTGTAATTAAAATCGTGTCAAATCAGTTTTACTCGATCGTCACAACTTCGTTCCTATCGGGTGTCCCACGACACCACACTGCTTTTTTTATTTCTGTTATTCGAAGTAATCACCCATGCAATCGACGCATCTTTGCCAACGCATTGGCAGTTTATTGATGCCCTTCTTGTAAAAATCAGCTGGACGGGAGGCAAAAACTCTTCAAAGGCATTTTGTACCGCCTCTCGGGAATTGAATTTTTTACCCACTAAAAAGTTGTCTAAATTTTGGAAAAAGTAATAGTCGGTAGGTGCAATGTCTGGTGGTCACATCTGCAACCAGCTTTGGTCAATCGGTCGTCCCCACTGCTCCTTCACGACAACACGCGACCCCATACTGCGCAATAGACTGTCTCCAATCTGCAAGAGCTGGGGTTGGAAGCTCTCCCTCATCCGCCATACTCATCAGACCTTGCACCTACCGACTATTACTTTTTCCAAAATTTAGACAACTTTTTAGTGGGTAAAAAATTCAATTAAAAATCAATGGGTGTGCGGGCAAAACAAAGCAGGACACCAGCACTGCAAAAAGAAGGAAAACTTGACACAAACCCTATACCAACCCGTCTGGCTAGCGTTGTATATTAGGCCAAAACCTCCTTTCGAAGGAGAGGCCTATGTCCAGCAGTGGACTGTTAAAGGCTGTTGATGTGATGTGTGTGACACCTTATCCGAAGTGGTTCTAAGAAATTACGATATCCGTGACCATTGAATCAAAGATTTCGTCGTGGGAGAGTCATGCTTCGGCATATATCGACCAGAGTGATACCACGGCCTGGTTTCGTTGGTTTCCACCGAGTAAGAGAGTTTACCAGAGCGCCAAGACTCCCTCTTTCTAATTCTGAATGGTTTACTCAAAGGCCGCTAACGCACTTACTGTCTTCAGAGTTGCAGGTATCTACTAAGGCTGGTAGTAACTTATTACTAGGTTTGTCTGCTCGTTTTATCCCTTATAATTTTTTTTTCTTTAAAACATCATTAGCTTTTCTCCCTTCGGGGTAGGTAGAGTCAACAACTGACCACTTAAAGATTGTCTGGACTTTAAAAGAGACGATAATCCCTTAGTTTGTTTCGTCCTTTCTTCTCAGAGCTAGTCCTTAGAAAAGGCCGAACTCATCTGCTTTAAAAAAAATAGTTGTAACTTCTTCTAGTAACCTTTTTGTAGAAGTAAAGATTTCATTTCATTTTATTTTCACTTGTCTTTATCCTTTCATACTCCGTAACTACTTTCCTCTACTTTTTTTTTATTTATTTTTCCGTGCGGAAATCCCCTCAGATACCACTTGTCGGTGGCATGTCGGACTCGAACCGACTAAAACCGCACGCCGTCTCGGCTACTAATAGCCGGGGAACCATTTATACCCTAGAAAGGAAGTCCCTGGTGCAACTACTTTACTGTCTCTAAACCTCTCACATAAGCCCGTCGGTTTCTCATCCTTTTTACCACTATCGTATGAACAAAGAATAATATTGGGACAATTTAATGTTTCTTGTTTGCTTATAAATATTCACAAAACACTCTGTTTAGTATTAGTAAAGAAAAGTGCGTTTAGATATATTTGTTTAGTTTTTTCCTGAAAATATTTGAAAAGGTTTTGTAATAAAAAAATTGTTTGCTATTAGATTTGAAATAGGGCGTTCGGAGTTCAATTGTACTTCTTTGTATGGTGAAGCCTTTTTTTCTTTAAAAGCTTTGAAATATGTATATGAACGAATCACAGTGATCACGTGTCCGTGCTCACAGGGCAACTCTCTTCATTCAGCCTCTCACTACATGTGCCACCTGGTCTAAAGGTGATCGATTAATTAACGTGTATGAACATTATATAAGTATATTTTGTGGATAATGAAAGCTTAAGAGTTTGCACATCACATCACACACATCAACAGCCTTTAATAGTCCACTGCTGGACATAGTAGTACAATAATAGGAGCGATCTTCGAACCCTCAGATTCGCAGAATCCACTTTGGGAATCGGTATAATAATAATATAATAATATTCTACCACATTCACACAACGCCATCTAGTCTCAAACTAAGCAGAGCTTGTACTTTGGCTACTCGACAACTGATATAAATACATATATACTTTTTTTTTGAAACACCCAGACCAAATCAAACATTTAATGTTCATGCACACAAATGTGTGACTTGAGCGGGAATCGAACCCGCGACATTTGAAATAGCAGTCCGTTACACAAACCACTACGCCATCCAGTCGTCGTATAACATAGTAATAGTAGTCGTATCATATGGTAATATAGTATAATAGAATACAACTGACTAGATTTTCGGGTAAAATTCTTCTCAGACAGCTAACTGTAGTTAAATTCTTCAATTCTGGTAAAGAATTAAAGATTAATGTACGTGATGTTAAATATAATATCACGCTAACACCTTTAGGAGTGGAACAGTGACCATAAACACTTGGAACGTATCGTAAAAATACACTTATCTACAATTGGGTCAGACTACATCAGACGGAATTTATTCCACATCGGCCATCTTGATAACATGTCCATCTATCTTTTTCACTCACGATAAATGACAAGCGGTCTTTTATCAAATATAACTAATGCTTATTTTTTGAGTTCAGTCTGGAGGTGGAACAGTCTGCGATAGCGTGCTATTTGTCTTATCATTCTGTAGGGAGTTGGAGGGTTAAAGGATTGCGGGTTTGCAAGTCTAATTTTTTATAACGCAATCGCGGGTAAATTTGTTTTGGTATTGTTTTAAGAAAATTAAATTTATGTTTTATGAAGTCATTTACTAGTCTTTCTTGTTATTATTTTATTACATTGTTGTTTTACAGGTATTTTATTTCAAAGACAAATATTTTATTACCTTAAGACAAATAGGAACTTGTCTGAAGTTAGTGGTTTTATTTTTTATTTTATTACACACATTAGGCATACATCAACAGCCTTTACTAGTCAACTGCTGGACATAGGCCTCCCCTTAGAAAGGAGGTTTTGGCCTACTATACCACGCTGGCCTGACTGGTTGGTATAGGGTTTCTTTTAAGTTTTCCTTCTCTCTGCAGTGTTGTTGTCCTGCGTAGTTTTCTCCCTTAGTCGCCTCTTACGACACCCACGGGATGAATAGGGGTGGTGACACTCTGTATTCTTAATCCGTCACCACACGGACAGCTGATAAACATACTTATATATTTCTAAATGCATACATATTATAGATAAATTACACCCAGACACAGAACAAACGATCGTGCTCATCACACAAATATTTGTCCTGGGTGGGAATCGAACCCACGACCTTCGGCTTAGCAGTCAGGGACACTAACCACTAGACCAACAGATATAATGATATGTTTTAAATTGAGTTTCATCTTCAGGTTCTGGAAACGCATCCCTGGATTCGGCATTCTGCGCGATGCTGGAGCAGCCTTCTTGGTACCTCTGTGAGCTGAGCAGCCTGTTATTCTTCATCTTACCCGGCATCATCATCCTGGGTCTCTACGTGCGCATGGGACTCCGAATTAGGTATGTTTTGGGGTATGTATCTTTTATGTATAAACGTAGATTATTATATTTAGTACAGACTATTACTTTGTTTATATTTTTTAATGGTATATGCACAAAAAAAGGAGACAGGTAAGTGACTAACACCGCCCATGGTCCCAATCAGAGGGGCCGGAGGTCGATTTATCACCGTCATCTTGAGTGGAGACCGCGTCTCGGCAAACGTAGTATAGGACGACCACAGGCCAGGTGGAGTGACGATTTGCGCAAGATGGCTGGCAGGACCTGGATGCGAGAAGCAAAAAAAACCATCTAAGTGGCGTACAATGGGAGAGGCCTATGTCCAGCAGTGGACTGCGATAGGCTGATGATGGTGATGATGATGACTGTCGACGGAATAGTTTTGCATTTTTCGTATTCTACTAACTAAAAAAAAAGACCAATGGCCTTGTCACTGATACAACTGTCGTCGATGTTTCCTTTTAATAGTTTGTTACTTACCGGTACATTTGAAATTTGTAAGAAAATGATATATTTAGTTTTCCAAGTATGGCAATGTTGTTGATATCACCATTGATGACCTATATTGCTATATCGACAGTCTATTGTCAATGTAAATTTATGTTAGTGGAATACCGATATTTTGACCTATGTCAATGGGGTCTCAATGGCATCTCAATAGCGTGTCAATGGAATGACAGTGGCTTGGCGTTAACACTAAATAGCAGAATTGAAGCCCAGCTATCTTGAAAGTTGCCTACGTATAATGCATACTAATAGCAGATGATCGTGACTTCCGTAGGGCCTACAATTTATCTAATTTCAATCCGGCCCAGTCACAAAATCCGGGGCCGGAGCCAACCTAGTTCTAATTATATTTTCGGGATGTCTTAATAAAATCTGTTCTCGGATCCCTCCTATTTTAAGCTCTATATGGAACTCCGTGCTGTTTTAGTCGTTTCGATTCCGAGACAACGTCACACCGAAAACCCCAGACGGGTGACAGCCCCGTTTCCACAGAATTACCTATAGACAATTTCTTTGGAATGGTTAATTGGCTCTTAATATCAACCTTTCAGCTATGGGAGCGGAGCAGAAACCTTAAAGTGAATAGTACGGGGGATCTCTAGTATTTCGTTTTTTTAAAATTGTGTTTATTAAATTGTATTTGTTGTTTTAATTTATTCTTTAAGTTTACACTAAGATGATGCCAAGATTATTAAGCAGTTGTTTCGAACCTCGTTACCCGTCGAGTTTTCGTCTTGCTTTAATTCACTTAAGTTGTAAACGGTTTGTTAACTTGTTGAGTTCTAATAGGATTAACCTAATTGTAAAATTCATACAATACTTAAGTATGACCCGAATTAATATTTAATGTCTACATTACTAAGTACGAAGGTTCATCATCGTCATTATCAACAGTCTTTAATAGTCCTCTGCTGGACATACGCCTCTCTTTAGAAAGGAAGCGCTGGCCCACTATACCACGTTGGCCAGACGGGTTGGTTTGTTTCAAATGTTTCTTCTCTTTGCAGTGCTGAAGTCCTGCATAGTTTGCTCTCTTAGTCGGCTCTTACGACACACGCGGGATGAATTGCGGTGGTGGCACTTCGTAACCACACTGACAAACGTAGTAGTTACACGTTAAATACAAAGTTATAGTTATAGCGACTAGCGGTGAAGGATCGTATCACCAACGAGTAACCGGTTTAAACTTCTTCCGCAGCATCACCCTTAAATACAAGTAGTATGCTTCAAAAAAGTTACGCACACTCCCGCACTAGGAATATATCCTCTGTCGCGGGGGACTTTTACAAACATACATGAAATGGATACAAAAACAACAATGTTGACTGCACGGATGGGGCAGTGGTTTACTGCGCACAGTGCTATGGGTCCGATCCTCACACTTTGTGTGATTCACAAATGTTGTTCTGAGTGTGAGTGTTCTTTGTGTTCTTTGTGTTCTTTTAATGTATGGTTGTAAATTCCCCAGCGACACAAGTTAGATTCCCTGTGCAGAGGGTGTCTTTAAAAATAAAAAATGTTAAAATATTCTACATTTTTGTAAATGACGACAATGAAAAACTCACGACTCATTCCCTGCAAGGATGAGCAGAGATACTTTGACGCCCGCATTGTGCATATTGCTGTTAAAGTAATTTAATCAACAAACGCGACGAAACATAGTATTTACAGTAGCATGTGTCCTTAGTCCTTACTTAAATTACTGTTGATCCCAGACTAAGAATCCGTGAAATTATTTATTTCACGGATTATTACAGTCGGGCATCAACATTATTGTAAAATTCCATAAATCGTTATTACTTAAATTACTTTTAATCGTAGTAAGCCTTGTTAAGGATGGCATCAGCAATGAGGTGATCCGTTGGAAAACCAAGGTCATTGACATAGCTCATCAGATCAGCAAGCTTAAGAGGCAGTGCGCTAGCCAGCTGCAGAACCAACAACTGTTGGGGTAAACAAGTTCTTGAGTGGAGACTGCGTCTCGGCAAACGCAGCCCACAGGCCAGGTGGAGTGACGATTTGCGTAAGATGGCTGGCAGGAGCTGGATGCGAGAAGCCGCATCGAAGTGTCGTTGCAATAGGAGAGGCCTATGTCCAGCATTGGACAGCGATAGGCTGATGATGTTGATGATGATGATGATGAAACCTTGTTAACTAATACATTATATAGAATTAAACTCAGGTTATAATAACGTTACAAATATATCTTCAGACTTCTTAACCGTACGAAGTTTTCAACGTAAAAGAGGCCGCTCCGCTGCACAGCGGTTTTATAATCTCGATCAAGATGACGTATAGAGGTAATGTTGCCCGCAATATTTTTTTTAAAGCCAAATAGTAATTATTTTGAATAATTTCTCAAATAAATAAGTTAGAATATTGAGTAATTGACAGTAATATTAAAACTTGTCAATTCCGAGCATACATACTCGTATTTAGAAATTTGTAACCGTGTCTATTATATGTTTGTATGCGACTCATCCAATAAATAATTACTAAGATAGTATTTCAAAATGTTGCTTGCAGCTATTATTTAATTAGACTGCACGGATGGCGTAGTGGTTTAAGCGGTCGCCACGCTGCTTCCTGCTACGCCGAGTGTTGTGGGTTCAAACCCCACATGGGACGACACTTTGTGTGATCCACAAATTGTTGTTCTGAGTCTGGGTGTTCTTTGTGTCCGTTTCATGTATGTTTGTAAAATCCCCCGCGACACAGGATTTATTCCTAATGCGGGAGTTGTCTTTTAATAATAAAAAAAAAAACAAAATTAAAACGTAAGAATTTAAGCTTTCGTGTTCCATGACCTCCTGTGACCAGCCATTACAACATGGTCAAAGTGTCAGGCAATTCAATGGATTTTACACCTTTCTATTTATAATTAACCAGTATTTGTCCGCGGCTCCTCCCGCGTGTATGTCGATTATCGTGGTATAAAGTAGTAAAAAAAAAGGGAGTAACATTTTTTTTTTTTTTTTTTTCCGTGTGGAAATCCCCTCGGATACCACCTGTCGGTGGCATGTCGGACTCGAACCGACTAAAAACGCACGCCGTCTCGGGTACTAATAGCCGGGGAACCAGGTATACCCTAGAAAGGTAGTCCCTGGTGCCCCGACATACCTCGGGTCATCTACAGACGAGTAGACGACCCCCCCCCCCGTGTGGGATCCCCATGTTCCCTGTGCTCCCTGGAAGCGAGCGCGCTTCGCAACGCGCTCGACGCCACCCCGCCTATGTTACTTGTTCGATATGAATGTAATACATGTAGGTGTGAGCTGTGGCAACACCAGGGAGAAGCAGTTTGCACACATAATAATAAAACAAGATGTCGTCATATAAACGTTAGATCTTTTATTTCATACTACAAATATAACATGGTGTCAGGTGTAAAATTAAGTAAAACAAGTAACTTTAGTGAAAATATAACTATTGTGATAATAACCTTTGTGGAGAAAATAAAATCTTAGTGAAATATTGTAATACTTTGTAAAACAAAATGCCGAATGAAAAAACGTGGCCGGTTTACTCAGTAGATGGTCTACGACCGCCAAAAGGTCTAAAACTTAGTGGGACAGATGCCAATTGGAAAAAGTTTAAACAGCTTTTCGAGATTTACGTAGAAGCAGCAGGTTTAGAAAAAATAAGTGAAAACCGCAAAATAGCCATTTTTCTCAACGCAGGTGGTGAGGAAGTTGTGGATGTGTTCAATACTCTAAAGGAGCAAGATAAAGTGTCGCTACAGGCTTTATTCGCAGCTTTAGACGCGTATACAGAGCCACTGAAGAGCTTGGTGCTCAAAACCTATGAATTTCTTAACTATAGGCAACAGGAAGGTGAGGCAGTTGACCACTTTGTGACAAGGTTGAAGAACCAAGGAAAAAAGTGTGAGCTGGGTGAAATGGAAGACAGACTAGTGGCTATAATGTTGGTTATTGGCATTGCTGATAGTGCTTTAAAAGAAAGGTTACTTCGGGAAGAAAGCTTAGAACTGGACCGTGCTGTAACAATTTGTAGGGCCGCAGAAGCTGGAAGAAAACAATTACAGGGTATAGCTGGTACGGCGAAGGAGAGTGTGGATGTGCTCAGAAAAACTACAGAGAGGAGCCGACACAGGGGTGAAAAAACAGGCAAAACTGAAGGAAACAAGTTGTGTAACAAGTGTGGGTTACATCACGAGGCTAGAAAGTGCCCTGCCTTCGGGAGGAGGTGTGCAGTGTGTAGCAAGTATAACCACTATGCAAAGCAGTGCAGGTTTAATAAGAAACAAGAAGAAGAGAAGAAGAAGCTTAGTGAAAGAAAGAAAGTACATGCCGTAGAAGAAGAAGACAGCACTGACAGTGATAATAACTTCTATATGTCGAGTGTGATAACTAATAACAGTATAAAACAACAGTGGTTAGTCAAGATAAAGGTATGTGAAAAGGAGTTGAACTTTAAAATTGATACTGGGGCAGACTGTAATACTTTGTCCTTACAAACTTATAATAAGATAAAAAATAATAGCTGTGTGTTAAAAAGATCTAAAAATGTACTAATTGTGTATAATGGAGAAAGAATTAACACTGTAGGACAGGCTGAATTGGACTGTTACTACAAATATGAAAAGAAAGTGTTAAAATTTAATATTATTGACTTACCAGTGCAGCCAGTGATTGGCTTACCTGATTGTATTAAGTTAAACTTAGTGAAAAGAGTAGAAAGTCTCTCACAGTTCGATTCAACCAAAGAAAATTTTATAAAACTGTATAAAGATGTTTTTAATGGTCTTGGTGACATAGGTACATATAAAATAAAGTTAAAGGAAGATGCAGTTCCTGTCATAAAACCCATAAGGCGAGTTCCTCATGCAATTAAAAATAAATTAAAAGAAACCTTAGATAACTATGAAAAAAGAGGTGTGATAGAAAAAGTAGAGGGTCCAACTGAGTGGTGTAATAACTTAGTAATTATTGAAAAACCTGATGGGTCTCTTAGGTTATGTTTAGATCCGAAGGAGTTAAATAATAATATCTTAAGAGAGCATTTTTTGATACCGTCTCCAGAGGAGATTTATAATAGTTTACAAGGAAAACAAGTGTTTAGTGTGTTGGACATGAAGGACGGATTATTTCAAATAAAATTAGAGGATGATAAAAATCTTTGTACATTTGGAACATCTTTTGGTAGGTATAAGTTTAATAGGATGCCTTTTGGTATTTCCTCAGCACCTGAAGTGATGCAAAAAATGAACACTAAGATATTTGGAGATATAGAAGGAGTTATGATATATTTCGATGATTTGATAGTCGCAGGAAAGGACAAAGAAAGCCATGATAGGATTCTAACTAAAGTAATGAAT